CCGTGTGGAATCACTACGACAGGAACTTCTTGCTATTTTTCATGGCTTGAAAATTCTAGTGGTCAGAAATACAGTTGTAGGTGTTATCATTGAAGGGGATTCGATGAATGTGATTAAATGGTGTTTGAAAGAGCAACGCTTTCCTTGGCAACTTAAATCCATTGGATTTCAGATCTTTCAGCTGATGTCCTCTTTGACCTTATCGTTAGCTCATGTGTATAGGGAAGCCATAGTGGACCCTATTTAGCAATGTAACATGTTTTGATATCAATAAATTCTGAAGTTCTTCCAAAAAAAAAAAAAAAACACGAAACTGAAAAAAAAAAGGGAAAAAAAAGAAAGAAAGAGAATTTAAAACGATAATAGGTGTGTGCCAATTTTCATTTGCGCACGCATGTGTGCATGACAATATATGTAAATAACTCCAAAAATAAAAGCAAACACACACAAGAAAATAGAAATACAAACTTTTCAATAGAGAAAATAAATACTTTCATATTGGGTTTGAGAGTCTCGGTGGACTCGGTTAGAAAATAAATACTTGCATATCTAAGGGAGTTTTTTTCTCTAGCTTGTTTTCTCTCTATGGGAATTTCTCTATCTAGCTTTTAGGTTGGTGTTTCTCTCTATATAAGGCTTTTTCTCTCTAGAATTCGCTACACCAAGACCTAACAAATGATCTCTAACCTTTCAAAGTGGATGGGGTTTAGTCCTCTTATAAAGATGGCTTCAAACATGGATGGATTATCAAAAGTATGGGGCATGTGGGTGGATTATGACTCTTTTGTACCGTTATAATTCAAAAGGGCATTTTCTGTTAGCATGAAAATGATGAAAATAAAGCTTCCTTTCACCTAAACCCATTAGCTTGGGCTCTTATTTCTTTATTTCTAGTTGGAAAATGGAAGTTTTGGCACCACAAAATCGTTGCGTAAGCCAAAAACTCCAAGATTTGAGAGCGTTCTGGATCTTATCTTTTTATGGATGAGTGCTCAAAAAACAATAACATGCTCCTTTCAATATAATGTTTCTTTGCCTTAATAATCACTAACAAACTCCGCATATTCAATGAGATATAGGTCTTTTAAGATGCCAAAATCATGATTTTCAGCAATGCCATAAAAATCGATTGCAAGTTAGCCTTATGATCGTCCCCACCTCCGATTTAATCTTGGCTTATCATATATGAACAAAAAGAGAATCGAGTTCAAGTCTATGAGATATCAAATTGTATCAAAAAATTTCTTCTGGATAGGGAGAAATCACTGAAAAACTGGTTGGAGGTCATGAAAGTTGTAGACAGATAAATGCAAAACACCTCGACGTCTCTCTAAATGGTCACTACAATCCAATGCAAACAATCCTACAAAATATACCTTATCAGAAATATTTTGTCGAGAGGAACAACATATCCAAAGCCCGGACCATGTCTCCCACATTTTGAGCCTCTATCTCCCACATTTTTATCGATACTTTTAGATCCGAATTCTCGAGCATCTCTTGTTGGAAAGCGCATACAGAGTGTAGATTGAATGATTCGTAATTGCTTCACATTAAGATGATGTGAAATTGGTTGAATTCTTAGTGCCATCTGTATAATTATGTATGCACCTAAGTCCTTTGCCTTAAACCGGGCACAAAGAGCCCCATATTTGGCTTCCCATGATCATGATTCATTGAGCACTCATGCACAACTGAAATTGTATGTGAAGATTGAGTTTTATGGTGTATTTTTATTTTGAAATTCATTTATAATTTTACATTGTATTTCGTATAGTGTTGAATTTTATGTCACATGAGTTTAAGACGTGTATGCTCAAATCCCTTTGTGTAATTTAGTTGGACGTTTTTTGAAGGGGCCTAAGTAGAGTTATAATCTAACTCCTTGCATTTTTTTAAGAGAAAATATCTCCATATTATATATTTTTAAGTTTCATTTTACAATAGACCCAAGGTTTTAAAAGATATATTGGGATATAAAAATTGTAGATTTTATTTCTTCTAACCTCTTGTGCTAATTTAAACATGGTTTTTTTAGGCCAAACAAATCTAAAAAAACATGCTTTTTTTAAAAGCCATCCTCCTAAAAGAGCTTCATGGAGGTGAGAGGTTATCACGAAGAGAGAGATGTTTAGAGAAATATGGGAGAAGAGATAATAAAAGACGTAGGAAGAGAGAGAAAAAGAAAAGTTTAGGATATATAAGTGAAGAGAGAGAAAGTATTGGGTTTGAAAAGAGCATTCCTTTCTCACATTTGTTTAGGTTTAAAATTGTCAGGGGGCTAGAAAATATCTTTTGAAACTTTAGGTTTATGAAGAAATGAAACCTAGAAATAAAAGATATGGAGATATTTTCCCTTTTTTTAATGTATGGATGTTCATCTGTAATTCATTTTTTAAGTGGATGTAATTGTAGGAAAATTTGTCGTATGTCATGTAATTGAGTTGTATTTTGAAATTGTGCAGTCCATTATATAAGAGAATTTTTCAAGCCTTGTAACCTTTTTTTCATACGGTATCAGCTTCTCATTCTAAGCAACCCATTCCAACTTATCATGCTTCTCTCCCTCAGTAAGCCATTTCTGATTTCTTAGTTCTTGCCAATGTTCAAAAGTGCTATATGTATTGGGAATCCCGTTTATCAGATTGGAATCGATCCGGATTCATTGAGTTTTGGTGATTTATTGGAACGGGCCCCACTTTTAAAACCCGCCATATTCCTTTTCTTTGTGTTTTTGGTTCATTTTTGTTTTTTTAGTTGTTTACTAGCGTTTGAAGCCCCTACAACATTCCCTATTGTGTTTTATTTCTTTTTGTTTTTTTAATAATTTTCTAAATTGATGACCTAGTTAAATTCTGTTATAATTTGCGTTATTACAAAACTATCGAAGAATTTCTGTTAATACCTATCTATCAGTTTTTTTATGTAATAACGAAAAAAAAATTTACAATTTTACCCTTTTTCGGTTGTTGAACAACCGAATTCAATTGATTTTTGGTCGTTCAACAACCGAAATCACGCCAATTTTGGGTTTTGAAAAACCAAAAATTTTGGTGGTTGAAGTACAAAAAATTTAAATTTTCAGTTATTCAGGGGCACAAATTTTTTTCAGTAGGTACTCGTTTTTTTTTCGATTGTTGAACAAACCGAATTCAATGGATTTTGGGTTGTTCAACAATCGAAATCCTTTATACCCTTTTTCACCTACGTTTTACCCGTCTTTTCCCTTTAAACTTCATAAGAAAGAGTTTAAACCTACGCAATGTAAGGTATAGAGTGAGAATAGATAAACATAGGGGAGAGTTTAGATAGATAAACTCTCCCATATGTTTATCAATTCTCTCTCCTATGTTTATCCATTCTCTCTCTATACTTTACATTGGGTGGGTTTAAACGTTTATCAATTCTCTCTCTTATTTTTATCTATTCTCTCTCTATACCTTAAGGTTTAAACTCTTCCCTATGATTATCCATTCTCTCTACAATGACTAATCTAAGTAGATAAACATCGGGAAGAGTTTAAAGGGAAAAGACGGGTATAGAGGATTTTGGTTGTTCAACAACAGAAAATCTATTGAATTCGGTTGTTCAACAACCGAAAGAGGAGAGTACTTATGAAAAAAAATTAAAATTTTTGGTTCTTGAATAGTCGAAAATGTAAAATTTTCAGTTTTTTCAAAAATTGAAATTGGCATGATTTCAGTTGTTGAACAACCGAAAATCGATTGAATTTAGCTGTTCAACAACTGAAAAAGGATAAAATTGTCTTTTTTAAAAAATTTCGTTATGACATGAAAAAAAAGAACAAATAGATAATAACATAAACTATTTGGTAATCTTGTAGTAACGCAAATTATAATGAATATATACATAATGTTCCCTTTGTAACATGTTCCTAGATTGCAGATATGACCGATTTAGATTGAGGATCTAGACGATCCAAACGGTTTCGATGGATGACCATCCAACCGCTAATGTGATTTTTTTTTTAAGCACTGTTTCTTAATAGCTTCTCTATGTAGATGCATCCCAGTTCTAATTCCTTGGTAATGCATCCCATTTCTTTTTTGGGTGTGGTTTGTATAAAGTTGCAACATGAGACAATCAAATTTGGGTGTGGTTTGTATAAAGTTGCAACATGAGACAATCAAATTAAGATGCACCACCAAATTTTATTAATAAATATAATTTTGGTGTAAAATTTTTTAGGATGGTTTAACGTTTAAATCAAATAGGTCTAAAAACACTTGAAAATATCCAGATAATATGTTACAAAATACATTTTTTTTTAGGACTCGAAATCTTTTTTTTTATTTTTATATTCATACATCTAGATATCGAGATGATCTTTTATGATGGAGTTTATAGGCACACATTAATTCTACATTTTAAAGTTGCAACTTTATAAACTTTCGGCTCTGACCTAAAAAGTAGAGCTTGGGCCACAAACTATAGCTCGATGATAGGCTAGGGCTAATGCGGGCCCAATTAGGCTAAGCCTGTCTCTGATTTTTTTCTCATATTTCCATTTATGGTTTCTTCACTTCGAAGTGGCCCGGCCCGCCCGTCACCAGGCATGGGCTGCACCCACGGGTTTAGAACCCCTCACTTGTTTGGATTTTGGGTTGATGACCTGGACTGGTTACCCACAACTTGGTAACCACCAGTCCACAGCTTCCAGGTTGTAACAAACAAGGCAGTGAGCTTCGTTGCCATCACAGCCCATTGATTTTTTGCAGCCCATCTCTCTCCCTCTCTCTCTCTCTCTCTCTCTCTCTCCTCCACTACTACTAGTTCGTTTCGTTACGTCGTACTCTCTCTCTCGTACGTACTACTACTACTACCTACCTACTACTACTACTACCACCTACCACACG